AATTTGCCTCCCCTGCTGTAGCCCACAGCCTGGCAACCATCAGTTTGTTCTGGAATAAGGCTGAGGTCCTCACCTCAGCCACACAGAGGAAGAAGATGAAGCTGGGCTCACACCTCCTCATACAAGTACCTGCTGAGCTGTTCTCCTGCCAGGCTCAGTCATGCCAAATGGCCAACACTTCCCAGTCAGGACATTTCCCACTCCTTAAGTCCCCCATAGGACAGAAAGTCACTGTTTTCTGCAGTCACAGCCCCTGTACCTCAGCATTCTCTTGCTCTGGTCTCCTGCTCTCTTCTTGGCTCAAGGAAATAGTCTGGATTTCCACAAGGAGGATAACCCTGGGACTGTAGAGATTGACTAATGAGAAAACTCACTGCGTCCTAAAGACCAGAGTTTGTGCCGCCTGGCCAGATTCATTCATCTTCAGAAAACCACAACCCAAACCAACAACATAAAAACAACAAAAACAAAGAAACAAACAAAACCCCAAAACATTCTCCTAAACAAGCTACACTCATCAGGGAAGGGGTGGGAGGAGGAAGAAATAAATCCCATGCATCACTCAAGTCATACAGCTCCCAAAGTAGCCCCTTCCTGTGGGGATACTGAACCACCGCAAACAATAGTCTTGAACAGTTTCAACAGAATTAGATGAGGCTGCCACCACAGGTCAAGTACTGTAAGGACATATCCCATCACCTTCCTGCATCACTAGGATTCCATACACTACACATCTAGGTGCTGGATGTGAACCTGGAAATGGCATGATATGAACCTGCTCAAGGGACTACTCAGTGGATATTTTGTCACAGTGCGCTAAAAAAAGGAAAACCTCTTGGAAAATGAAGGCATCATTTCAATTCTAAACTAAGGGAGACAAGAACAGGTACAAGAGTTGAAACAGGGGACATCAAAGTCAGTGAAAGATCTACTATAATAATATTAAAGGTGACACAGAAACAGGAAAACATATGGAAGCCTGAAGCAGACAGAAAAGAATCATAGTGCTGAAACTTAGTGTCGTGGTTTAACCCCAGCCAGCAGCCAAGAACCACGCAACCGCTCACTCAAAAGTCTAAGAGTGAGGTAGCATGGGCGGAAATGAGGGAAGGACGAGACAGAGTTGAAGCCACTGGATTCTGGGCTTCGTCCCCCTTCAACAGGACCTTGCACAAACCTTCCTGTCTCCTCCAAACACATTAATGTGCCAATAAAAATTACCTCTCTTAAGCACAATTATTCACCAGGTATACAACTGCAGCAACCTCAACAACAGTGGTGTGGAGATCTGTAAATAAAACATCATCATCCCAGACAGCAGATATGATCTTTGTGAAAGCATATAGGACTGTGGCTGTCTGTTCCTCATCTAACACCTACTCTGGCACACCAGGAACTCAACTGGATTTCAGCAAACTCTGGAAAAGGTCCCACCTCCATAGCAAGGAAAAAGCTAAGTCTTCTGATGGATTCACTCCCAAACCGCATTTTTTCTAATAAATTTTGGGAAGAGGTACTAAGTACTTGATTGAACCAAAGGTTGATTCTTCCCCACCTCCCCATTATATACCCCTGTAAATATCTCTTTTTTCACATGTGTGTCAAAACTGATTTAACAGTTTTCTGCACCTGCACTCTGGCCAAACTACATCAACTGGTAATTATCTTCAGAACTCAACTAAAGAGCTACCTGCAATTAAATTAAAATAAAACCCTTTTCTATATTCTGGAAAATGAGAAAGAGTCACTCCCTTGTACTCTCTTCAGTTTAGAAATCCAACATTACCTAGACCTGCAGGAATTTGTGTATAGTATCTTGGCCCCCAAAATGCAGGGCTCATTAAAGCCTTAGTATTGACTTTTCACAGTTCAAATGTCCACAAGTATTGCCAAAATTTCTGTGCTTGTCAGTACTGTAGTGGAACATTTTAAAAATTATGTAAGCCCAAAGCATGAGGTCTAAGCTGAGAGTAAAACATTCTCTAAACAACCACACAAGGAGGCAGCTTGCACTTGCCAAATCACACAGATACTTCGGAGGGTCTCTTCAATTATCAAGCAAAGCAAAACACAAAATAGCTCCAGAAGAAAAGCAAAGTACTGACTCCTAGTAATCAATCTGTAAGTGTGGGGAAAAAAACATACCAAGCAACTCAAACCTATTAAGATAACAGTGCAAAAAAGGTAGTTGAAATTAGAGGTCACAAAAGCATCAACTTACTACCACAAGTCCAGGTACAAATTTTTCCTTTTGCTTTCATTAGTCAGCAAAAACCTTTCTACACTTTGCTTCTATGTGCCATAACTTTAGGGCTTGAAAACTGGACCTATAAAATGTGTTCTGCTGCAGAGGACACATACTTGGCACAGACAGTAGACATACAGTTTATA